GATTGCACCATCATGCCTGGATAATTTTTGTATTTTTTGTAGAGATGGGGTTTTGCCACATTGCTCAGGCTGGGCTCCAACAATCCACTCATCTTGGCCTCCCAAAGTCCTCAGATTACAGGCATGAGCTACTATGCCTGGCTGGTTTCTCTTATTGTTATAAATTTTTTGTCACTCATGCTAGAGGTTTTTCAATCTGTTCAACAAACCTGCATTTAGTTTCATCGATTTCCCTATTTTTTTCTATTTAATGAATTTTTTTCTTTAAAATTTTCTTTCTTCTATTTTGCTTTGAGGTAATTTTGCATTTATTTTGCTCTTCTTTTTTTAGTTTCTTAAGATAAAATTTTAATTATTGATCTAAGAACTTTCTTATTCTTTTCACATACAAATACTTGATACTATGAATTTATCTCTAAGCACTTCTTAGCTGTATTTTACAAATTTTGTTAGGAAGAATTTTCATTTTTATTCTGTTCAAATATTTTGTTCAAAATATTTTCTAATTCCCTTGAGACTTTTTGATTCATGAATTATTTAGAAATATGTTGTCTGATCTTCAAGTTTTTGGAGATTTTCCCATTACTTTTCATTCGTTGATTTATAGTTCATTATGGTTTAGGGAATATACCTTATATGATTTTAATTCTTTTAAATTTGTTGAGATTTGTTTCATAACGAATGATATGGTCCGTCTTGGTGAATGTCCCATAAACACTTGAAAAGGATGTGTATTCTAATGTTATTGTGGATTGTATTATAAATGTAATGAGATCCAGTTGTTGATGGTGTGGTTCAGCTCTTCTGTATCCTTGCTATAGGAATGTTGTGTCTCCAGCTGTAATTGTGGATTTGACAACTTCTTTCAGTTCTTTTTTTTTTTTTTTTTTTTTTTTTTGAGACGGAGTTTCGCTCTTGTTACCCAGGCTGGAGTGCAATGGCACGATCTCGGCTCACTGCAACCTCCGCCTCCTGGGTTCAGGCAATTCTCCTGCCTCAGCCTCCTGAGTAGCTGGGATTACAGGCACGTGCCACCATGCCCAGCTAATTTTTTGTATTTCTGGTAGAGATGGGGTTTCACCATGTTGACCAGGATGGTCTCGACCTCTTGACCTCATGATCCACCCGCCTCAGCCTCCCAAAGTGCTGGGATTACAGGCGTGAGCCACCGCGCCTGGCCGACTTCTTTCAGTTCTATCCACAGTTGTTCCATGTACTTGGAAGCTCTGTTGTTAAGTGCATGCACATTTAGGATGATTCTTTCTGAGGTGAAAATTTATTAGAGTTATGTCTGGCTGTAAGGGACAGACTATGTAAATGAACACGAGCTTTTTTCATACATCCACATCTAGGCAGGCACCCCAGGATTAGTATGTTGTGCATGGGGCACACTCTCTGTCCCATTGCTCTTCAATGAATGGATATTATTCCCAAATCACCTCATGGCCCAAGATAGCTTGCTCTAGGTACTTTTTTTTTTTTTTTCTGGGTGGGATTTTGTTCTTGTTGACCCAGCTGGAGTGCAATGGCTCGATCTTGGCTTACTGCAACCTCCGCCTCCTGGGTTCAAGTGATTCTCCTGACTCAGACTCCTGAGAAGCTGAGATTACAGGCATGCACCACCATGCACAGCTGAATTTTGTATTTTTAGTAGAGCTGGGGTTTCTCCAGGTTGGCCAGGCTGGTCTGGAACTCCAGACCTCAGGTGATTCACCCACCTTGGCCTCCCAAAGTACTGGGATTATAGGCGTGAGCCACTATACCCAGCCGGTCCATGTTTTAAATTAAACTTTTTATTCAAAACAGCTTTTTTTCCATCAGCTTGGCTGGTAGCTACTGTCCATAGCAGCCAACAGAGGCCTGGACAAAAGAGCACCAGCAGGACATCCACCTGCATGGGTCCCTTTGGGGAAGCCCTGCCATAGGAGTCAGAATTCTGACATGGCTTCAGTGACACAACCACAATGTGAAAATTAAGAGATTTTAGTGTTTGCAGACTCTGGGGGCCACATAGCATGCCTGGAGGTCAGGGAGCACAGGCAGGGAGAGAGAGTGCGGGACCCCTTTATTGGGTCCAGGGTATGATCTAAATTGGTTTCCCATAGGGAGTTTTGGTTGGTGGATTTAGAGCAAGCAGGCATGAGTTCCAGGAGAGCGCAGAGATGGTCACTGCTGCATGTCTGCACAGTCCATGCAGGGTGTGGGGGTCAGCAGGGCCAGTGGAGCAGGCTGTATCTAGTTGTTCCATAGTGAGCTGGTCACCAGGAGGCAGTTGTATAAGGCAGCTATCTGGATTGGCCACATAGAGGAATGGATATGAAGTATAGAAGTGGAAACTGTATCGAGGGTGACTGAGCCCTGCTGCTGGTAGGGGAAAGTCCAGTTAATATTCAAAATTAATGCTGGGACACATAAAATTATAAGCATTCATTATAGTGCTGCTATCACACCTGCACTCCAAGCATCAGAAAAAAAGCATGGGGGCAAAGGGCACTTCTGTCTTTAAAGGATGTTCCCAGGACATGCACACACTACTTCCTCTTAAATCTCATTACCTAGAATTAAGTCACCAAAGGAGGCTGGGAAATCTAGTCTCTATTCCAAGAAGCTATGTGTCCAATTTTTATCCAGGGGACCTATTACAAGAAATAAGAGAAGCAAGAATGAATATTGGGGCCGGGCGCGGTGGCTCAAGCCTGTAATCCCAGCACTTTGGGAGGCCAAGGTGGGTGGATCACGAGGTCAAGAGATCGAGACCATCCTGGTCAACATGGTGAAACCCCGTCTCTACTAAAAATACAAAAAATTAGCTGGGCATGGTGGTGCGTGCCTGTAATCCCAGCTACTCAGGAGGCTGAGGCAGGAGAATTGCCTGAACCCAGGAGGCAGAGGTTGCAGTGAGCCGAGATCGTGCCATTGCACTCCAGCCTGGGTAACAAGAGCGAAACTCCGTCTCAAAAAAAAAAAAAAAAAGAATGAATATTGGGGAACAACACCAGTCTCTGTCAAAGGCCACTTCACGCTGCTCCTGTGCACTGAGAACCACACCTTCTATGGTGTTTGCATGGTCAGTCCCACTGATGATGTATATAGTTCTGGTTTTCCTCATGCCCATTCTAGAAGTTTGAACAAAGGAGATTATATTCCCATCTGGGGACTCTGTTACACTTCCTCTGAAGTAAGGAGGAAACAGGACGTGGGGATTGGTGAGTACACTCTTTTCTCCCCGAGTTTTTTATAGTAATCCACATTTATTTGAAGAATTCATACTGTAGGGTATCCAGGTTTTAGACACTTCTAGAATTAGATGTATCATTTGATCCTCACATTAGCCCTGGTTTTGTTAAAATCACATTTTACAAATACGAAGATTGTTGCTCAGGAAGTTTTTGTAGCTGACCCAAGGTCAAGGAGCTAGGAAGTGAGGGTGCTGAGATTTGTGCTTATGTCTCTGACTGCAAGTTTAGAGCTCTTCCAGAGCACCATGCCAGCTTTATTCCCTTGTTGCTTGGGACAGCTCTGCCAACTGGGGCCGGAGTCTGGTTTGGCTCCTTGCATTGTCTATCTATTTATTTGGATTTCAGGGGACATGGAAATTTCTCCAGGCAGAATTTGCATTTGTTTCTGACAGGTGTCAGGAGTCATTATCATCTTGAGGACCTTTAAATTATTTTCTCAGGGTTAGGGGGTTTGTCCAAGGAGTGGGAATTCCACCCATTAAGTCCATGTTAGGGCCAGCTTGTATTCATGAATCTTCATCTGACCCCTTTCACCAAGAGTTAACTTGTCATCTCCCTTGATGGAGTGGATTTTTCCCTCCAATTGTTCTCTGAAGTTGGAGATTTATACTGGGTCCTTCACTGTGACTCTCTAGTTTAAGTGGGATTTACTGTCTTTCACATAGTTATTAAGTGCAGTTTTGGGTTGCAAGAGGTTGGCAGATGCCCTTAGGGCCGTGACCAGGAAAGAGTTAACAGAGGGCTGCCCTTTACAAGGTTTTGCTACCCTTTGCTGTCTTCTAGGAATTGGGCTTCTGGAATGTTCCTATGCTGATAGGGTGGTTTGTGTGCCTGTGTACTAAATTCCACTCTATCAGCTTGCCTGGACCCTACAATGTGATTTCAGATGGACACCTGCTTTTCTTCTGGGAGTCTGAAATTGCAGTAGCCGTGCAGGTGGAGAGACTGCCTGTGTGACCAGTTCTGAATCAAAACCCTCGTCTTGGAGTCCTAGGTGGGCTTCCCTGGGTGGAAACACTGCTGTGTTACTGTGTGGCCTCTCACTGTGGGAGGAAATAGGATGCCTGAGCCTGGATTATTCTTCCAGAGTCCACCTGATGTGTTCCCCGCCCCCCACCTTGTGTATCCTTTTACTGTGATATAACTTAGCCATGAATGCAACTACTTGCTGAGCCCTGCGTGCCCTTCAAGTGGAACACTGAGTATGCGGGTGGTTGTGGGACTGATGCAGGCAGGTACTGGCTTCCACTCTCTGAATTCTGGCTCCGACTTCTACTGTGGGCTTTGATGGCTTCCATCTTTTTATTGATAGTGTAGTCATGAATTGAAAAAGACATGATTCATATTTTATCCAGCAGTTTTAGGAATTTTTATGGGACAATTTGTAAGGGTTTCTATCTTGCCATATTGTTAGATGTCCTTTCTTTATTTCTGGATGTCCTATCGGTTGCCTACTTAATTTTTTCAGACAGTCAAAATTAAAAAAAAAAAAATTCTGATTCTTAAATTGCCAAGCATTCACCTTCTTAAATGTCAGTGATAGGGAGTGGACTCAGAGTCGCAGCCCCCTTCATCCTTTATCTCTAGGCCTCTGAACCTACAGCCACAGGACCAGCCTCAAAGAGGGTCTGGCTCCAGGGCCAGCGAGTCTAGCCTGAGGCAGGAGGTTGGGGAGCTAAGAGTGTCTGAGGTTTGCTGCCGGCTCCTTCTCCACTTCCTCCCCCCGCCAAGAGAAATTCCCGGAAATAACTACGCAAGGACCTGGGCACAATAATATGAGCGTTTATTATCACGTGACTGCTTAGGAGGGGACATGCCGCGGAGCAGGACGGGGAAGGGGTGCAAGGAATGGACAAGTGCTGCTGGAGCAGGGCTGTGACCATGGTCCTGGGGCAGGATAACTGGGCTGTTGAAGAGTCTCTTTTCCCCAGTCTGGTTCTTCTTCCAGCAGTCAGATGCAGGGACGCCCAGTGCAGGAGCACCAGGTGCTATTATCAGGAGAGGCATGGCTAGATTCCACTCACTTCCAACATGTCCTTCTTGTCTCTTTTCTAAGGGAGGAGGAAGGGCAAGACAACCGTCAGTGGGCGAGAAAGGGTGGAGTCTCTCCTCCAGGGCAGCTTAGCTGTGAGCTACCAGAATCAGCCGCGTGGTACCTGATGCAAAGGCACAGCACGAATATAGACTTCCCCAGATGACTGGGCTCTTTGGCTTGGAGGCCACTTGGTTGGGGACAGGGGCTTTCTGGACTGGGCCACCACTGGGGTAGAAAGACAGGCATGATAACACTTGGGACTCGTGTCATGGGCCCCTTTCTTCTCCCCAAACTGTCAACTGTTCCTTCCTGTCTCCTTTGAACAGCTCCACTGCCCCAAACGCACAGGCACACACTTGAGGAACTCACCTTTTTGGCTGAGAATATTCTCCAGCAGTACAGCCCCAGAGGGGCCAGAGATGCCAGAAGCAGCAGAATCCAGATAGCCAAGAGCATGGCCCGAAGGGTAATGAACAGGGCCTGGGGACAGAGAACCCACGCTGTAAGCACCAGGATGACAGCTGCCTTCCTGCTCTGTCCCCATGTTCCTTACTGATCTGGGTCAATCTCTACCCCTTTATCTCCAAGTTTGTGGCTTCAAGAGGGGAAGTCAATACATCCAGCGTGCAGAATGCGGCCGGAAACCCCTCATACTGGGCCCGTGTCCTCGTTTGCACAGTGACGGGTTTGGGCTATGGTTTGATTCCCTAGAACCTCTAGGACTTGAGAGGACTGAGGGAAAACATGCATTTAACATCTTTGCGGCACTTTGTGCCCTCACAGTATTGGTTCATTTATTATTTTAGTGCTTGTATTTCCCACTAGTCTGTAACACCCACAACTACAGGAGCCACTTCTGTTTTCTCTGATGCTTTGTCTTTGGCGACGATAATCAAGGTTGGTGTAACACCTATGTCTGGTGAAGAGCCTGACTCTTGCCCCCAGCCTGGCCTGGGCATCCCTGCCCCGCCCGCTGCTGCCCTTCCCCTTGGCCACCTGCCTTCAGCATGTCCAGGAAGGAGATACACAGTTGGAACCTTCTGACTTCTTCTGGACTCTCAGTGGGGATTGGGGTGTTGTACCAGTTACTCCAGGTAGAGATGTGGCACATACTGTTACTATAATAGCGGCCGTATCCCAAATCGTCATTCCAAAGCTTGAGGGCAGCAATGGCTGTGGAGAAAGCTGCCAGCTCTAGCAGACTTCTCAGCAGAGACTGGGGAGGGAGGAGGCAGAGAGAAATCTTCGTGAATCAGTTTCTCCCAGAGTCCAGTCTGGGGTAAAGAGGGCAAGGCCCAGAGAAGCCTGTGATGGGGCAGGAGATTGGGGTGGCCTCCAGCCTGAGCTTGGTCCCTCCACCCCATGCCCTTCTCTGAACTCACCCAGTAGGTGCCACCCCGTGTCTCATAAATGAAGGCAGCAACTCCAGCCAGCACAGCCTGGGGGAGAGATTGATGCAGCAGGAGGCTTAGCACAGGGAATGCGAGTCCCCTCCCGTGAGAGAGACCCCGTGCAGCAGACCCTTCCCCAGCACACTCTGCTTGGGCCTGAGGCTTCATGCTAAGCCTTTTGATCCATGGTAAGGTTAACTGCTGAGACAGTGGAGCTGGGATCCAACTCCTGAGGCCGCAGAAGGCCCTGCTTTAGTGACGCCTAAGAGCCTGTGGTCAAGCCAGGTGTGAGCCCCCCTTCCTTCTCTAAACCTTCCCTTTTAAACACCAGCAAGTGCTTTATCAAAGTTCCAGGGATGCTGGGATCTTGTGGATAAAGTCATAAGGTGCTGGAGAAGCTCTCAGTAAAGGGTGGCTCTATACAGGGTGGGCACGGTTAGGTCTAGAAGCCTGTCCTAACAGTGCCCAATGATCCATTCAACTGGGCTTGAAGAACAGGAAATCTAGTATATCCCAGTGGACAGGTGGACCTGAATCCTGTTTGGCTAATTCTGTAACTAATCCGGGTATTTTGCCATAGGTTGGGTGAAGGTGATTATCAGTAAATACATGTGTTATACTGCTATGCTGAGGGTGTAGGTACCATGACCAGTCCACCTAGCTCCTGTGCAAACTGCACACACCCATCTATTAACAATAATTCCTGGATTCCGATTGTGTGCAGGGCCTGTGGAGGACAGTGGGAGTAACCAAGGCTGATGCTTCCTGGGCGCTCGCATACTATCTGCACGTTCTGCCTCCCCCATCTCAACACAAGTATCCGGAGATGGGTGGGTCCTTAGATCCTTAGTTGACATTTACTGTTGAGGCAGGGAGAGGCAGCCAGCCTGATGGGAGCAGCACTGGGCAGGCGTCGGGAGAGCGGACAGTGCGACTAGGACACGCCGACACTGCCCTCGCTGTTTGCTCATCTGTACAGGCAGGGAATGGGCCGAGATAATCAGATCTTTCTGACTGCCAGCATTCTGTGGTGCCATACTGGAGGAAGGCAATCAGGAGAGCAATGTCCCCACACCTCCCGCAGGCTGTCGAGCACGGTCCTGCTCTACTCACCACGGCCCCTGTCCAGATGGCAGCTCCCGAGGCGACCAGGAGGCTGAACCCTTGCATGTACAAAAATCCTCCGAGGACCCCACTCAAGATCCCCAGCACGATCTGCGTCACCTGAATGACAAAGGACGAAAGATCCTGGCTCCTAGGAGCACCTGCCCCTGCGGGGATTAATGGCTAAAACCCCAAAAAGAGGCGCGGGGAGAGAGAAGAGAAAGAAGGAAGAGGAGGAGGAGGAGAAGGAAAAGGGAGGTGGAGGAGAAAAGAGAAGGGAGAGGAAGGAGAGAGGAGAGTGGCCCCTCCTGAGTTTGACCTAGAGGAAAGGATGGATTCAGGGCTCCACCGATTGGAACTCTGCATGGTCAGTGGCTCCTCCACACCCCATTGAGCCCAGAGCCTCCCATCCCCAGGCTCTTACTGAGAAGGCCAGAGAAGCACATGCCTAAGTAAGAGGACACACTGGCTGGGTGTCCTCTTCAGAGGGAGGCTGGCAGAGGGTGCTGCTGCGGCAGGAGGGGGGCCCTTACATTGGTCTGCTGTGAGGGGACTAGGGAGTCCCTTCCACAGCCCCACGAGGCAGGCTGCCACACTCACCCATGAGGCCACCAGCAGCCGGCTGCTGCCCCTGGCCTGAGTGGCTGGGGGCCGCAGCGCAGAGCAGCAGGTCAGCAGGAGCTTGGCCAGGGCAGATTCCTGGTGGATGTGCACATCGACGTGGGTGGGCTGTGGGGTCTCCGGGGCCATCTCACCATCGTTGGCTGTCCCCATGGTCAGGAATACCCTCTGTGAGGAAGGAAACACCAGGGAGGAAGGGCTGTCAGAAGACTTTTGTAGATTTCATTGGAGTTGGGGAGGCCAGGGGCCCGTGGGGCTCAGGGTCACCGAATGAATGGCTGTCCTGGTCACAGAGCCACACTTTGGCCCCCTCTCAAGGGGAGTGTATGTAGCAGAGGGGGCTGATGACCATGACGGGGCTGTGGCGACTGCTGAGGCTGCAGGAACCTCCCCTTTCGTCCTAGATCTGCTCTGTCCCCCGCATCCTCCTCGAAGGGCTCTGGAGTCTGGGTCTAGCGGCGCCCCACGCCCCCGCCCCTCACCCCCTCCACCCGGGCTCTTCCTGTGGCCTCCCCTCCACAAACTCCCCTTGGCTGCCAGTGGAGCCCCTGTGGACGCAGCCTTGCCCCAGCTGGGCCGCGGGTCCTCCACCCACCTACCCCACCGACCTCCCGCTCCAGGGATGGCTGCTCAGGCCAGACGGGTTCACGCTGCCCATGCCCTGGAAAGGACCGCGCGGCGGTGCAGAGGGAGGTCAGAGGCCGGGGCCGCACCTGGCCTACTCCGCAGCCCCCTTCCTGCAGTCTCATCCCCGGGTGCGGGTCCCTCCTACCCCCCGCCAGCTGTGCGGAGGCAGCTCGGCGCGTGCTGAAGGAGGCCCGGGGCCATCGGGCGTGGGGCGCCGCCTCACCTGCGCTACTCGGGACCTTCGTGCGGGCGGCGGGAGGGCTGGGGCGCCGGCTGCGGCGGCGGGAGGGGAAGTGTGTCCGGAGTCGGAGGGGTAGGCGGAGGAGGGGGTGGGGCTGAACTTCAGCCCCTCGGGTTCCCGGCAGGCGGCCTGTCCTGGGGTCCGTCTGGGGTTCTCCCGCTACGCGTGGGTCACTGGGCTCTGGGGAGCTGGGAGGGTGCGCGGGCGGCTGGCCCTGGGAAAGCCCGTGGGCTCATCCTCACCCACAGCCCCACGGCCAGGGCTGGCGTGCAAGTGTGCGGGAGTGGGAACGCAGGGCGCGCGCGGGGGCTCGGCCTCCTCCCGCCGGGTCCGCTCCTCCTGGTGGAACCCCCCTGCCGGGCCCCGGGGCCGAAGCTGGTTTCGGGAAACCGCGCAGCCTGGGCGGGGCTGCAGCCCCCACCCCTGTCTCCGCCGTCCCCGCCCTCCCGCCGCTCCCCTGCTCTGGGTCAGCTCCTGCCGGCTCTGCTCGGCCGCTGGCTCCCCGAGGACGGCAGGTGAGGCAGGGGTGGGGCTGGAAGACCCTCTTGCCGCAGGACCCTCTGTCCCGAGGAGTCCCCAGGGCCATGCCCCCAACCTGTCCTGTCCACATGACGCCTTTCTTCCTCCATCTTGGTTTCCCCGAGGACTCCTGTGGGAGGATGCAGGGGGTGACCCCAGAAAAGCGGCTGGAGAGCGGGAGGAGAGGCCTGGGCCTGACGCATCTCCTCCACCTTCCTCTGCCCCGCACGCTTGGCCCCTGGCTGGAGCCCTTCGATGGGGTGGCTCCTGGGACGGGGCCAGGGTGTGGCGGGGCTGCCGGACGCTTTCCCTGGTGGGGGCGAGGCAGATCTAGGGGTTGACGGGGGGCGGGGGAAGCGGTGGTCCTGGGGGCCCGGAGGTAGCTGGAACCTGAGATACACTCAGGGCAGGGCCCGGGCCTTCAAGGGACGGTCTGGCTGGAATCTGGGGCTGGGCTTCCTTTTGCGGGAATCAGAATCAGACGCTCCTTTGTGCATCTGCGGAATTGTCAAACTCCTGTCCTTTGTAACCCCAAGGAGGCCAGGTGGGTGAAAGAGTGAAACTGCTCTGAGAAGTAAGTGGAGTACGAATGGGAGGTGTTATTCGAATTGTTAATAATATTGGATTTAAACTGTGATACTTAGCCAGGATGTCCATTAGAATTGCTTATGCAGGATTTATTTTAGAGCCAGGCAAGCTGATTCTAAAGTGCAGGTGAAGAAGAAACCTAGCAAAAATGGCCATGACAATTCTGAAAGAAAAACCCCATGAAGGGATCATGAAACAGCCCCAGAAGCTTTAAGCTCCATATTAAAATTGTGGTAATGATGCAGAACATAAAGACTAGAGCAGGTCTATATTCCTAGGGGCGCTTCATTTTTGCTTAGGAGAGAATTTTAAATCAGTGAGGAAAAGAGAATGTATTTTCTACAAATGGAACATATCCTTCAGAAGTTAAACATCTGAATGACAGCAACAGAGCTGGGACCCCTGTCTCCTAACGGCCAAGGCTGGGCTTCCAACTCCCAGATTCCAGGTGGGTCAACATTTAAAAGTGAAAGCTGAAAGCGTAAACCACTTAGAGGAAAATATGGAAGAATTATTTTATAATCTTGAAACGGGGAAGTCCTTTAAAAGTATGAGAGCTAGACACCATAAATAGAATGAAACTTGAATTGTATGAAAATACAAGCAAGGTCAAAAAATAAACCACAAATTGTAAAGAAACATTTGAAACTCGTATCACAGATGGCAATTTTTTTTGAATAAAGAACTTCCATAAGAAACAAACAAACAAAAACATAGGATGTGAATGGGGAGCTCACAAAAGAAAAAATAAAAATGGCCCTTAATGTATGAAAAGATGATGAACCGCACTCATAATAAGAGAACTATGGGCCAGGCGTGGTGTATTACGTCTGTAATCGCAGCACTTTGGGAGGCTGAGGTGGGAGGACTGCCTGAGTCCAGGAGTTTGAGACCAGCTTCGGCAACAAAGCAACACCCCCATCTCTCTCTCTAAAAAAAAAATAAGAGAAAGGTGGATTAAAAATATGTGGAAATAAAGACTAAAAAAGAAAAAATATGTGGAGATAGTTACAGAAAGCAGGTCGGTGATTGCCTGTGGCCAGTGGTTGACGGTATTTACTGGGGAGGGGCTTTAGGGAACACGTTGCATTGTAGAAATATCCTATATCTTGATTGTAGCTGTAATTGCACAAATGTATAAATCTGTCAAAACTCATTAAGATATACATTTAAAATGGGACATCTTATTACATAGAATTGATGAAAATATACAGTGGAATGCAATTTTCCCCATATAAATGAAAAAGATAAAAAGAGTTTGCCTCCTGCATGTGAATTGCTACCACCTCCATGGAGGATAACTGACAATAGCTACTAAAATTGCAAATGCACTTACTTTCCTGTTGTCTTGCCAATTCCACATTGTCTGCAATGGAAAAGGATCAGAAATAACCTAAATGTCTGCCAACAGGGAACCACTTAAATAAATTATGAGGAATTCATACTCTGGAAATGTAAGCAGTGACACAAATGAGTGAAGAAGCTTTTGTGAAAGTTGTCAGAATCAGAATAGAGTCACCTGTGTTAAAAAAAAAAAAATCTGAAAATTAGAGCCTCGGAAGGCCCACAAGGCAGGATTCTCCTGTATAAATACCTGATAACAAAATCATCACAAAGAACTCTGTAAAATGATGACCTTACACAAAGGCCATCATGACTTGACACAAAAAAATGCTTCTGCAAGGACGTTCACCAGCAACTGCCTGTCTCACCCTGTACTGGACTGTCTCACCCTTGTTATTGGTCCTTATAGCCAGGGATAATCATCTCAAAGCAATTATGTAAGTCTCCCTATTTTTTCTTTAAAAACTTTTGTCTCTCTTTACCTCCCTGAATGTGCACGTGATTTACTATGGCAAGCATATCCCCATTGCAATGCCCTGTTCCTGAATAAATCTCATTTTCTTTTGGAGAGCCTCTCTCTGTTATTTAGGTTGACACTTTTTATGGACTCATGTAGGATTATTCTAAAAACATATGACAATGTGAGCGAACACATCATCATGCAAATCAGTGTGTGTGGTATGTTGGTATTTGTGGGAAAAGTGGGGAGAAATAGTTTTTCATACTTTTGTATACAAAAATGTCATTGTAGGATTTATAAGAAACTGATAATATTACTTTCCATCTGCAAGGCAAATAGTGTTTGAGGGAAAAAATGAGAGATAAGGTTTTAAAGGTATATATACCCTGTTGTATCTCTCAAATTTGTATGTGTAAAGTATTATGTGTAAAGATATATACACATATATACTAAATAACTAAGGTCACTGTGACATTGATATCTGTACTTCCAAAGGAAAGACCCTTTGGAGCTTGACAAAGACAGTTTGTTTGTTTTTTGAGATGGAATATTGCTCTGTCACCCAGGCTAGAGTGCAGTGGCGTGGTCTTGGCTTGCTGCAACCTCAGCCTCCTGGGTTCGAGTGATTCTCCTGCCTTAGCCTCCTGAGTAGCTGGGACTACGTATGTACCACCATGCTCAGAGAAGTTTTGTATATGTAGTAGAGAGGGGGTTTCGGCACATTAGCCAGGCTGGTTTTGAACTCCTGACCTCAAGTAATCTACCTGCTTTGGGCTCCCAAAGTGCTGGGATTACAGACGTGAGCCACTGTGCCTGACTGGGATCTTGACAAAGACACTGTTTCTCTCCTCTCACTCATACTGTGTGTTTTTCCCTCACCTGGTTCCCAGACCTCACTTCTGTATGTCTTCTCCCTGGCAGGCAGTATGGCCCAAAACATGGTGACCGTGAATGGTGTTGCTGTGTCCTCTACGCCATCCCAGCCCACCCATATCAATATCCACATCTACCAGGAATCAGCTTTGACACAACTGCTAAAAGCCGGAGGTTCTCTGAAGCAGTTTCTTTTTCGTCCTGGCGACACTGTACCTTCCAGAGCCGGGATAAGTTATGAGCAGCTGGCTCTAGGGGTAAGAGTGGGCTGGTGGGGGTCGGGGGGGGGCACATTAACAAGGTGATGAGGTCAATTAAAATATAGATCCAAATCTTCGAAATTAAAACATTTTATTTTAAGGAGAGAATTGCAATTTGGAGCATACATACGGACCAGGTGGTCTCCAGTATGTCTTTAGAACAAAGAGAAGGTCAGAGGTTTATAAAAAGGAGAAATGTTACATATTGCCCTCCAAGAAAGATCACTGGCTTTGGGGAGCTGGCAAGCTCTGATGGGTGAGCAATGGTGTGGGTACAACTAGTCCTAGAGTTGTCGCAAGGTATCTCAGAAGCTGTAGGTAAAGCTGGTTTCAGGTTATAGCAGGCAGCTGCAGCAGCCTGGCTTGCAGAGAATTACATTTTGGGAGCAACATTTTGTGCCCTGAGTGCTTTTTGCCCCTGGTCTCTCGACTCTGTTTTAGTTGAGTGTGACAAGAATGATCCATTTGGAGGCTCAGCTTTCATAATGGAAACTCTCCTTCTTCGATAGGATGCACAAAAAGGAGAGTGGGTTGAATTCCCATGAGACGGACATGAGAAATCACTGTTTATATCTCATCGTGTGTAAGAAAAAGTTGTAAGTTTCCCCACAGAAATGTGGATGGAAAGGAAGACTCGACCTCTTCTTTGACGCAGAGGAGTCGGTCTTAGCCAGAGGTGGGGCAACAGGAACAAGAGCCTAAAGGCTGTGAATTCAGTTTCATTTCCACATGGACTGAGAGCCCACAGGTGCAAGGCAATGTGTTTAGCACTTCAGGCCAAACTGCAGAGAGAATCCCTGGGCTGTACCTAAAAGTGCTCAGCGTCCCTCAGAAGGAACAGCAGCTCTACCAATGACTGGGACTAAAGTGTATCAGGCGAGGGAGAAGCACATCTCACATCCTTGAGGCAGAAGAACCCTGAATGGAGAAGGAATAGGTCTAGACAGAGGCGGACGATGGACAAAAAAGAATTCCAGGTTAACGAATGGCAGGAGCAAAGGCAAAGAGGCCGGAAGGCGTAGGGCAAGATCTGTAATGGTTAAGGGTACAGAGAATGGGCTTCATGAATGGGTGATTTGAGGCCATATTGCTGAGAACCTTGAAAGGCCAGGTGAGGAGTGTGTCCTGAATCAGCTTCGACAGTGAGAAGGTTGTGGATGGATTCTGAGCAGGAACCTGCTCAGAGTCAGGAGGCATCCAGATGAGAAGGATCGAGGGTCTGCACTCCCATAATCAGACAGGAATGGCGAGGAGACAAAGAAGTCCCGGTCCTTTGTGGCTCTCCACGGCATGGGAGTGAAGGGGTTTGGGGCATAAGGGCAGAAAGGCAACCACAACACGCAGAGGTTTGAGTGTGGGTGGCCAGGAGATCGGAGCCCTGATGTGTGTGTGTGGTGGGGTGAAGGGGTGTGGGATTTGGATGTGACAAATCTGAGATGCCAGTAGGATGTGCAGGTGGGTTGATAGTTGGGTTCTCCAAGAAGGAGTTCTCTTCTGAGTTGGAGCTGGGTGTGTGAACGGCTTACTGGGGTCTGACACCTACGAAATGAGAAGAGGGGAAGCAGGATTGGCGAGGAGGAACCGTCCGGCTGCATTACAGACTCTGCCAGCCCAGCAGGGAGCTCCCAGGCAAAGGCTGCCCATTGCAGGAGCTCCACCCTAGGTGGACATGGCCCTTGAGCCTCTGTCTTGCTTAATCATTGGCTGGGGGACCCTCCCCAGCGTGTGTTCTCGGAAGAGAAAAGATAGGGCAGAAACTAAGGTCAGGCTGGGGGTTTGGATGGAACAAAGGGACCTGTGAGGGAGAATGGGGAGAAAAAAGTGGGAATCTTCAGGTGGGATGAGAAAGTGTTGAAGTGGGGAAAAAGTGGTGACGGATAAATAGCCAAGCCTATGAGAAGGGTGAAGGGAGATCCAGGCCAGTGCTGCTTTGTGGACTTTAAGGGGACAGAACCTTCCAGAATCAAAGCTGCAGAGAGGTCAAGGCAAAGGGAAAGGAGAGGAAAGCCGCGTAGGTAGGAGCCAGGCAGTCGCTCCTGGGGCGGCTGGGGCACGGGGGCTCACGGGAGGGGCCTGGTTTCTCATCCCGTCTTGCAGATAACTCAGATATTGCTGGGGCTGGTGAGCTGTGTCCTTGGAGTGTGCTTCTGCTTGGGGCCCTGGACTGTGCTTCGTGCTTCAGGCTGTGCCTTCTGGGCGGGATCTGCGGTGAGTAAGGAACAGGCTGTGAGCCCTATGGGAAGCAAGTGGTGATGGGCAAGAAGGCGCTTATGGATCTAGGTTGGCGCTTTGGAGATGATCTAGGTTGGGGCTTTGGGGACGTGACCAAAGCCCCTGGGGCCAAATGGCCCTTTGCCACAAGGAAGCTTCCCTGGGGTGTGGATAAAACCCTGTCACTTCCGTTTTTTTCTCGTAGACAGGTGGGAGGGGTGAGGCAGGTGTAGGTGGAGTCCTGTCTGTGTGTCAGAGTTCTTTGTCCCTGAAATCCTTCTTCACACTGACTGTCTGGGAACGTTGGTGGGAGGGTGGTAATAGATCAATTCGGAAGAGTAAACTGCAGGCCTTTTTCTGGTGTATTCTCTTTTCAGGCGATTGCAGCAGGAGCTGGGGCCATTGTCCATGAGAAGCGCCGGGGCAAACTTGCTGTGAGTCTTGGACACCCTCTCTCCTCCACCTTGTTCACTGACTCCCTCCTGAGTTCTGCTCCCTTATGTCTTATGCTGTTTGGTTGCCAGTATCTCGGGGTCTTTCTTGGAGGGGAGGAGAGGGTTTCCTGGACAGTGGCTGGGGAAGAGGAGATGCGTTTGAGGTGGGAACCTCATGACTTTTCCACTGATTGAGAGAGCCTGTGTCTTGACCCTCCCTCTCTTCCAGGGCTACGTATCCAGCCTGCTCACTCTAGCAGGCTTTGCTACAGCTGTGGCGGCCGCTGTTCTCTGCATGAACAGCTTCCTCTGGCAAACTGATGACCTTTCCTACATTGATACTCTGTGTGATCTCCCGGACCCTGTCATCCCTACCTTTGAGTACAGACGGATGCGACAAACAAGTCAAAACATGAGTTGGCAGGAGAGAGACTGTAGATATCACATGCAGTTGCTGAGGGTGAGCAGGAAGAGTCCAGTCTTCAGGGACCCACCACAGCTCTTTGCTCCCAGGGAGCCGGGGGGCGCTGGAGGACAGAGATGTAGGCACTTTGAGGTTGGACCTCATGCTGGGTCTTGTTCACGAGGTTTTAATGTAAGCTGCAGACATTTCTCAGACTTCATGACATGAAGATTCTCTGCATCAAAGAGGATGAGAAACGAAGAGGAGATATTTCATAGAGGAGCTAGCGGGCCACCCCTTCTGGTTTTCCTGGTGTGTGGGTATCCCAGTTTTTCATTACTGAATTAAAAACCACCCCAAAATGTAGTGGCTTAAAATGACAACTTAGTCTTTCCCACAGTACTGGGAAAGAGTTGGCTGGATTCAGATGGGCAGTCATCACTTGTGAGTTTTCTCCTGCAGTTGCAGTCAGATGGGGGTGAAGTTATCCAAGCACTCACCGAGGCTGGGGATCTGAGATGATGCAGTTGAATGACCCGGAGCTCAGCAGGGGTGTCAGTGAGAGCCTGCGATGGCTTCTCCACGTTGCTTGGGCTTCTCACAGCACGGAGACTGGGCTCCAATGGGCAGCACCCCAGTAGTGAGCATTTCAGGAGGCAGAAAGTGGAAGCTGCCCGGCCAGCTAAGGGCTACTACCCCTGTCACTGTATAGTGTCACTTTCGCTGTGGCCAAAGCTGTTCTAGGCCCTTCCAGGTTCTAGGGGTTGAAGGAATAGACTCCACTTCTTGACAGGTAAGGTCACTCTGCAGACAAGCCAGCAGGATGGGAGCTGTGGCTGGAAACAGTCAGCTCTGGCTGGAGCCGCAGGCTGGAGAGGGTCAGCGCCTGGGTGGGTGGACAGGGTGGTGATGTGGGCAGCGCTGGAGCAGCTGACAGCTATCTTTTTTCTTCCCTTATCTCCAGAGGTTGTTCACAGCAATCTGTGCCCTGTTCCTGGCCGTCTGTATCTTGAAGGTCATTGTGTCCTTGGCTTCCCTGGGAGTGGGTCTTCGAAACTTGTGTGGTCGGAGGAGCCCCCCACCCCTGGTGAGTTGTTGGGGAGAAGCTGCTGGGCAGTGCGGATCTGGGTGGTGAGTGTGTGGGGCAGGTAGGAGTGTGGGGACAGGGGCACCCGAACCCGAGGCTGGGCCTGGTCCCCCTCAGCTTCCTTCCATATGCAGCTCTCCCCTTTGCTGTCTGGGGAATGTGACAGTCACCAGGGTCCTGGGTCAACTCTTGCTGCCCTGTGCCTCTCTGCACCCTCCCCTGCCCTGATCTCCCCTGCTCTCCCCTCGGCCCTGTCCCAGGTGTTAATCCGACTCCCCTTCCTCTGCCACCTGGTTTTTTTGCCTGATCTGCGTTTCCTGTCACCTCTTCCTTTCCCTCCACCTTTCCTCTTTCTGCTTTCCGAGTTCTGTGACTCTAACTCTGCCTGCATCCCTTTTCCCCTAAGGCTTGCTTTTCTCTTTTTTTTCCCAGGATGACGGAGGATCAGAGAAGAGGCTATTGGGGGAGAATTCAGTGCCCCCCTCTCCCTCTAGGGAGCAGCCGCCCCCTGCCATGGTCCTGTGAGCCACCAAAGACCCCACCGGGTGCCCCCATGTCCCTGTCTGGGCCAGCCCAGGGCCCCCACTGTCTGGTCCCTCACATTGCCTCCTCCGTGGCCAGTGTCCAGCCCCGGCTTTCTTCTCCCCACAGCATCGGCACCTGCTGCTCCCACTCTGAGGTTCTCAAGTCCATTAACAGATATTGTCGCATTTTCCCCAAGGCTGATTAAATATAAACAATCCAGAAAAGCAATTTTGCCCAGAAAGATGTGGTTTCCCTTTGTTTACACACCTTGTGTGCTGTGAAAGGCCTTTCTTTGTGTCGATATGCATGAAGTTAAATGGGAGCTGATGTATCACATGGGGACACGGTCCCAGGAAGACGAAATCTAATTATGTTCTGCTCCACATCCGGGTAGCAAAACTCCCCTTGATGGTTTTCTTCAACTCAGGGTAAAGTGGAAGGAAGTATATTGGGCCTGGAATCTCGTTCCCTGCCAAGATTGTCTAGGGTCCTGCAGCCTCGGCCTGCAGACTTTAGAGAACTGTGTGGAGCATGGAATGGGACTTGGGCCCGCCCCCTCCCTGTCTTTCCCTTCTCTTTTTTTGTTTTGCAGTAATTAGTGTTGGTTCCGTCTCTTTTCTTCTCTCCACACACACATAAACACATTCTTAGTCTTCTTTTCTTTTGTTGCAAATGATAACAAATTCATTTTGACATTTTCCATTTTCTTTACATATGAAGATGTAACAAATATATAGATGTAAGCATTTCTGAAGGTCAGGAAAGCTGGGAGGGGCTTTGTGAAATCTCCATGAGGTCGGTTTCATTACTGAGCAGCCCCACAGGGCTGGCCTTCAGATCCAGGCTGATAGACGGCAGGACCTGCTTCTTCCTCCTGGCAGAGCAGTGCCACGGAGGCGCAGAGCTGCTGTGCTGGGTGAGACCCGCTCCCACACAGGACTTGGAGAGGAGGCCTGTGCCAAGGTCAGTGCTGCAGGGCTGCTCTCCCTGGGACCCTCAGCAGTCTGTGCCTTACGTAGAGGTTTGTCAAGAAGCCTTTGAGACAGAAGTGTCTCAGAATATGGACAGGGTCAGCCGATTACAGCCTGAGGGGCAAATCCAGCTTGCCATCTAATTCTGTAAAGATAATTTTATCGAAACACAACCATGTCCATTTGTTTCCACATTGTAGCTGTTTTTGTGCTACAAAGGCAGAGCTGAGGAGTCTTAATAGAGACTGGCCCACAGAGCATAAAATATTTACTATTAGGCTTTTTACACGCAAACCTGGTCCTGACGCAGGAGCTTGCAGTGGAGGAAGTGTTTCATTCTGTTTCGTGGTTGAGGGGGTGGAATGCTCAAGAATCCCTCTCCAGAGGAGGCAACCTTGGATGAGCAGCAGGTGTGAAGCCAACTGGTTTCCTCATTTTTCAGGGTCCAGAGCCCATACATCATCACGTGGAAAAACTTGGGCTGAGAACCACTGCAGTTCCAATCCCCTCCTTCAGTCCTCGATAAAGACGACATTAGAATCGCAGAGGAATTTAGAACCTCGTGAACCTGGACACTTACTTTACCCCCAGCAATGGCATCATGGAAGCTCCCAATTCTCTGCTAAACAGGCAAATGTAAAGTAGCTGAGCCCAGAAGCCACGCTGGGTTGAAGTGGATAATGTGGAAAGAGACGCATTAGAAGGGCAAGAGCCTATGGGGCCCCACTTAGCCAGGCTCCAGGAAATGCTCAACCCATCAAAAAATGCGGATGGCTGCCTTTCCCCAGGTCTCATGTTTCCACACATCTCATGAGCAGTGGCACTGACTGGCTTTTCAAAGATGTTCACACCTCCTAGTGGGCAGCCTTGGAAAATAGTATCTCCTGGACCAATAGTGTCTCCTGACCAGTGTTCAGGCATGATCGCCTGTTATAAAAAAAAAATCAGGTTCCTTAAGCTCAGGGTTCCTCTTCTAGAATCCAACCCACTGGGTGTGCTGGCGTCACCTGCAATGCCTCTTTGCCTTGCCTGTGGGACCTGGGGTTATGGAACCCATGCAAAAATGCTGCTACTGTGGCCACTGTTACTGCCGTGTATGATAAATTGTTCTTTGTTACAACTTGGGGCTTTGTGGCTTCTACCAGCACCCATGAAACTGTGGTAGACTGACTTGTTGACCTGCATGTACAGTTAGACCTCAGACCCTTCACTGTTCCTGACTACTGTGCCCTAGCAAACTCAGACACTGGGAGATGGGGACAGCTTGGGACAGCCTGGGAGGGGATCGGGTGTGCCCCAGCACTGCATTCTCAAAATCCCCTTCCTGTTTACTGTTGAGGAGCCTTTTGTGTAGCCCCCGGGTTCCCCACAAAGGGGTGCCTCTCATGGTGTGGGACCACACCTGCCTTTGCCACAGCTGAGAGCTGCAGCTCCCAGGGGCTGGTGTTCCTGGCACATCACCCTGAGGTCTTATCACATCCTCAGACCACCATTGCCCCATGTTCCCTGATCCTGCCAGCCTCTCCGCTCCCTCCACATCTGACTCCTCAGGGTCTACAGGACATCTCCTCACTCTCTAAGTGCTGCCTGAAGGGGTACGTCACCCACTTTGTCCTCACAAAATACATCTCTTCTAGTGTAATCTCTATAATCATAGGCAATTCTAGCACAGTCTCTTCTAGTATAATTTCCAGTCAATCTCCCAGGCTTTTCTGGTAATAATCTCTTCCGGGAGCTCAGATGCTAACAAGCCAGAAAGAGCAGCTTCTGCTTTCTGCTTTGGATTTCAGCCAAAACTGTCAGAGGCAGAGAGAGGCTTCTGAAATGTCTTTCCATCAAGGGCCCAGCTACATGGTCAAAAAGAGGAAGTAGAAATACTTGGAAATCAGGAGCCACTTAAGTCTGTTCATTATCTCGTCCTGATGACATTCGCAGCTCCTGCCGAGTGTCCTCTGTCCCCTGGAGCAAGATCCTGCCACTCTGTTCTGAGACCGTTTCTTTCTGTTTCCCCATAGGGCAGATGACTCTGCTACCATGAAGTGAGGCTTTACAGGAGCTGCTCTATCTCAAACTGGGCACGTCTATTCCTTGGGATGTGTCACTGGAACGGATGGGGTGAAGGAGGGAGAGACTGGCCAGGGAGAATGAAGAAGTAGTAGAAACTCTATCCTGCTCTCTAATTGTGAGGGCTTTGGGGGCAGGTCACGGGATTCTCTGTGCAGGTCACACCCCCCATGGGATGGCACAGTGCTGACCTGTTGGCACTAGCAGAGCAGGTAGCATGGGACACGCCTGGTCCAGACTGGAGGGGATACACAGTTTATGAGCTCATCATCCTGAGCTTCTCCATGGACTGGGGGAAGGCAGGGGCCATGCTTTTCTTGTATCCAGCCTCCTAGGAGTTATTAATAAGTATTCACTCAATAAACAACAATTTTTTTTAGAGACTAGGGTAAAAGTTGATTTTTTGTCACTTCTATATTCTGTAAAAGAAAAGTTTGGGCAGACAGTGCGTGGTCTCAATTCTTGCTGCTCAAGGTGTGATCCACTGGTCTGCCTGGGCAATCCCGGGAGCTGGCTAGGGATGCAAAATCTCCTCGCCCCAGATCAGCCGAGTCAGAACCTGCATTTTCACAAGATCCTAGCACTATGTGTACTTTGTGAATTTTAAGTGGCACTGGCGTGAATATAACAGCAAGGTGGTTTGCAGGAGGGAATTCAGATACAGAATTTAATCTCTGTTTTCATTCTTTTCATGAACTTGTTAACTTTGGAATTTTACAAAAAAAATTCTAGTGGTGGCCAGGCGCAGTGGCTTATGCCTGTAATCCCAGCACTTTGGGAGGCCGAGGTGGGTGGATCACGAGGTCAAGAGATAGAGACCATCCTGGCCAACATGGTGAGACCTCATCTCTACTAAAAATACAAAAATTAGCTGGACGTGGTGGCACATGCCTGTAGTCCCAGCTACTTGGGAGGCTGAGACAGGAGAATCCCTTGAACTTGGGAGGTGGAGGTTGCAGTCAGTTGAGATCATGCCACCGCACTCCAGCCTGGGCAACAGAGTGAGCCTCTATCTCAAAAGAAAAAACAAAAGAATGCTAGTGGTAAGAAACACTGAAATTAAAAGCAAAAAGCGGCATCTTTACTTACTTTCCTTGGCTGAAGATGGCATGAATTTTGTACCTCGGTGCCTCTAAGTTATTCCTTTGATGGCCAGATTCAGTAGTAATTCTTTTCCCTTTTTAAAATCCTGGTAGACAACAGTCAGCTTGGTGGTTTTCTTTTTCTTTTCCCCCCACTCCCTGGTTCTTGTTGCACAAAATGGCCTCTTTCTGCCTGGCAACTTCCGTGTTTTTCCCCTGGAGTTTCCAAGCCTCTGAGGGAAGATGGTCTCCCCTCTATCTGACCTCTCTCGCCGCCCCACTTCCTCTATTCCTGCCTCCCCTGCCCTTCCTCTCCCCTCTCTCCTCCTGTGAATAGCCTTAGAAGTCTGAATCTTTATGCTCTGTAGAAAGTCGGATGTGGCACTCCACCCTTCTGCTTCTGTTTACTTGGAAAAGCTGACAGCTATTTGTCTCTGTGCTCAGCTCATTCGTGTTGGTGAAACTGCCCAGACACAGATGGCCATGATTTCACGGCCCTGGCGTGAGGCCATGCAGATAATCTCAAGGCTATTGTACAGCATATTTATTGAAGGATTGAAAACCATTCAGAGTATAAACAGGAAATGATTCTTTTTTGTTTTTTTTTTTTTCTAGTCACTGCTTTTGACTGTATTTTGTCAACTTCCTAATTCCCCATCAGATCTTGAGTCCTTTAATATCGGGACCAGATTCTAGATTTCACAACTCAGTCATTACAGTGGGCTCACATTTACTGTTCTATGTCCAATCCTTTTCATGTTAAAAACTGCAGCTACCAGAGCCTAGCTTGCCTCTCCTTCCAGAGGAGACCCAGGTTGCTTGGACAGGGAGGAGCTGGGGAGGAACGTGTGGTTGGGGCTGACTCCTCTCCCCGGCTGCTTTCTCGCCCCACTCCAGCTGAGACAAGGAAGAGGGATGCAGGACACGGTTTCCAGGAGCGACTGGCGGCAGGAAAGCTGCAGAGGGAGTTGTGTTTGGGCTTCGTTCACAGCCTTTGCTCATGTGATGTGGGCGGTGGGTGGTGTCTAATTTTGTTGCTCAATGTGGGAGGCACTTGGGAGTTTCCCTGCCTTTAGCTACCTTAGCTGCCTGGGTCAACCAGAAAAACCTCCTGGAAAAGTATT